CATGAAAATGCAGATTACTATTCATATTTACAATGCCTATATGGATCTAATTGGATATCTTGGAAATTATTTTAAGTTTAATTTTTAGAATATTTTCTATTTTTTCCAAAAAATTAAAAATATTCTAAGAATTAAACTTAATATAATTTCCAAGATATCCAATTAGATCCATATAGGTATTGCAAATATCAAAAGGAATATAGATTTTCAGGACTTTTGAAGTAGTTTCAATACGACTACAAACGATTTTTTTTTAAAATCCAAGATGGCGGGCTTGTGGTCGCGTGACCTGGTTTCCATGGTAACAGATATGCGGTAATTGCTTGCCTTGAAGATTTACTACTATGAGCCAAATTTGGGAAAGATTCATAGTAAACTGTCAAAGATATGAATAAATAACTGCTTTTCCATCACTTCCTCAAAAGAGCCATGCCTTAATGGTGCTGAGAGTAAAGGCACTACAACACTAAATGAAATTAGTTTTAATGGAAGAAACAAAATCTAAAGGGATAACCGACGTTCCGTATTATTACAAACAAGGTAGAAAACTCCAAATGACGAGGTACTAAAGCTAACAAACTGCGATTTCATAAATGCAGTCACAAAAAGCACCAAATACGCATATATATATAATTATACAATAATTATGATAGTAATAATGAAGTAAATTTTGAGAAACGAACGCAAAGGTTTGTAATAAAGAAAAAATAAAGGCCTCTTGTTCTTGATAAATGACGGTTATTATCCGAACTTTAAAGAATAGTATACACACTTCTGTAAACACGCCGACTAGGGTCGTTGCGTGAGCCGACATAGCATCAAGACTACTGTTAAATCGCATCAAGACTACTGTTAAATCGCATCAAGACTACTGTTAAATCGCATCAAGACTACTGTTAAATCGCATCAAGACTACTGTTAAAATCAATCGACCAAAAATGACTGAACACTCGGCCGCCACACGGCCAAACAAATTTATAAGGATCGCCACACGACCAAAAAACCAAATTAAGTCGCCACAAACGACCAAAAATCAGCCGCCTCACGGCCAGACAAATTTAGTAAGGTCGCCACACGACCGAGCAAATATACACCAGGGTCGTCACACGACCGAAAACCAAATTAAGTCGCCACAAACGATGAAAAATCAGCCGCCTAACGGCCAAACAAATTTACTAAGGTCGCCACACGACCAAAAACGCCAGAGCACAGAAATTTGACCGCCACATGGCTAAACTGATGCATTGGGCGACATGACCCATAGCCCGCCCCGGGGCCAAGTTTTACTGATAAATACACGATTGTAAAAACTAACAAATAAGAAATAAGGGATACAAACAAGATACCTCATTTGGCGGAGCATCAACCTGGGCTGCAGGATCATCGGGCAATTGAGTTCTACAGCTGGCTGGTTGGTTCTACAGCTGGCAAGATTATCTTGGTTTTGCTGTTGGTCTTGCGGTGGAGGTGGTTGGTCTGGCTAGGGGACAGGAACTTGAGGTTGCTGTAAATTTTGTAACTGAACTGGGTCTGGTTGAACTGGAGCGGCCATGAGTGCTTCGGCGACGAGAAAAAAAAAACAAGAGCCGCAAGAGTTTGCTTCCCAAACCGGATTTGCGAAAAGACGGCGAAACAGGCTCGGTGTTGGTTTAAAAACCTTCCCAATGACCCGAGGGATGGAATTTCACGCACCTCGTGCAATAACCATCATGCTGAAGGTTATTTATTGAACGCGGGAGCAAAATCGTGGTTATTTTCTCAGTGAGAATAGATCAAATGATCTAATAACACGGGTCAAAATCGAATAGATCAAAAGATCGAATAGAATGGGTCAAAATCGAACAGATCAAAAAGGTAAAAAGTAAGGGTAATTTTTTTTTACTTCGGTGGTCCAATTCTCCCGAGCCAAGAGCTCATGTTTAATGCAATAGAAGGTGCGCCCTTACCTCCTCTTACTATCAGTGCTCTTTTTACGGGTATTTAAAGCTATTTAAAGCTACACAGAACAGAGAGAAGTTGCAAAAGACGTGGAGTTCCTGCTCCAAAAAATATCGAATAAATACGGGTCAAAATCGAATAGATCAAAAGATCGAATAACACGTGTGAAAATCGAATAGATCAAAAGATCGAATAACACGAGTGAAAATCGAATAGTGTAATATTCTGCCCCATCTATTGTTAATATTAAGGTATGCAAAGGCAACTCTGGCCTTCCCAAATTTCACACCACATCGCTACCAATCATGCGTTGTTTCAGGCTCTATCCAAATTCATGAGGTCAGCTGGCTTCAAACCAGCGCTCCTCTTCTCCAATACTTGTTTCYCCCCTCCTAAATCCAATGAGGACTGACAACATTCTGATAACATTCTTTAATATGTTACACCGTTAAACAACATCAAGTACTGTTGTTTATACTTTTGGCCTCAATTTGGGAACGCTAAACTGAACCCCAACAACTTGTTACACTCCCAATATCAGTCCTTGACCAGGCGCTAGATCCAATATTTTGGGTCACGAAGGTTTAACAGGGACAAATCGGTCAACACATCGCCCCTCATAATATCATCATTAGTCGGTAGACCCTTTAGACCTTCCTCAACGGGAACCCCATTCACATCTACCCATTTATGTGTTTTTGAAATGGTAGAGTTTGTAGTTTACTAGAAATATTTTCCACTGGCATATCTAACCTCGGACCTACCTGGTAGATACTCGTTTCAGACCTTCCTGATCGATAAACCAACCTCACTGGTCGATGCTCGTTTCAGACCTCCCTGGTCGATAAACCAACCTCACTGGTCGAT